AAGCAAAAAGTACACCCCAGCAAACTTCCTTTTTTTAATGATCTAATCTTCTTGGAAAACAATGAAGCGTGTAGGTATACCACTTACGAGAAAGAACCCCAAGTAAGTAAAGTAGTTAACCATGGCTCTAACCAGGGTGGTTCATGACTGGGCTAATAAAAAATGGTCTCAAGCAGGGAAACGCGAGATGGAAAGCGGGCGGAAAAGGCTTGGCTCGGCGCTCAAGGGACCTTTTGTTTAGTATTGCTTTATGAAAGCTCGTTTAAGTCCTACTACATAAATATCAAAACCAAAAAACCTAGAAAATGATTTACAAAATCTATAAAACCATTATGAGAAAAAATATCACCAGTTCACAGCTTCCTCTCTCAAAACTGCAGTCTCCTCAAGAGGAACATCTGGAACAACAAGCCCTGCAAGAAAGTGCAATATGACCACAAACATGTTCAGAAAACCCAAGGTTGAGAAAGGTTACACATTTTCCATAGAACTTTGTAAACCAAGAAAATCTAAGTTAAGATTCTATACTTAACACATAAATATATATTTTAAGTTCAACGATTGTTAGGGTGGGGGTTGAACCATCGACCTTTGGGATGATAATTTATCCATTGAGTCATGCTTGTTTGGCAACACGTAATAATATACTAACAACTCATGCAATACTCTGTACAGCTTTAAATGCAATATTCCCATTTTATAAAGAATTCAAACATCCCTACCCACCTAATATTAGGAGTATTGACATATTCTTTTCAACCGTTATATTATAGGCTCTTGAATAACAATCATGTAGCTGATTGACTATAGTTCAATGATTAATGGTGAATCGAAATAGACACATATAATGTTCCAACGTGTTTGCCCATTTATTGCTCATAGAGGGGGTTGAGCTTAGAATGAGTTTAAGTCCAACACATGTTGACGGGAACAGGCTTGAGTAGAAGCCTCTTGCTCAGGCCGCTGCAACCCAACCAGTAACCTGACCCTAAACTTGAATGCCCAAAACTTCATAAATAGTTACCCATCCCCGCTTCTCCCTCCTTTCCTCAACGTAACGCTCCTTTTGTCCCCCCAAACCCCAACCCCTCATTTTCCCTTCTTTCTCTCTCTTCCTTTGTTTTCCCATCCTTAAATCAACTAGTACTCTTGTAAGATCCCACATCAGTTAGAGAGGGGAACGAAACATTCCTTATAAGAGTGTGGAAACCTCTCCTTAACAGACGCATTTTAAAACCGTGAGGCTAAGAGCGATACGTAACGGGCCAAAGCAGAAAATATCTACTAGCGATGAGGTTAAGCTGTTACAAATGGTATCAGAGCTAGCCAACGAGGCCGCTGGGCCATCAAGAAGGGTGGATTGTGAGACCTCACATCGGTTAGAGAGGGGAACGAAAAATTCCTAATAAGGGTGTGGAAACCTCTCCCTAATAGACACGTTTTAAAACTGTGAGGCTAACGGAGCGATACGTAATGGGCCAAAGCGGACAATATCTGCTAGCGGTGGGCTTGAGCTTGGGCTGTTACAACTCTAACCAAAACTCACATTGCATTTCATATTCTCTAGCTTCTAAAACATATACCCCAAACACAATTTTCCTAAATTCATGGTCCTAATTTCTAGACTACTAAAACTTGACCCCTAAACATAGTTTTCCTAGACTTGGGCTCATGAAACCTACACACATGTTTGCCTCAATTTTAGCTTCCTATAAAACCGCACCTAAACACAAGTTTTGACCCTCCACTACACTTCCATGCTTAAGACATTGAACCCGTACACTAAACGTCCCATACGAAACAAGGAATTGTTCCAAATATCAAATCTGGAAATTTAGGAATTACCTCGTACACCAGCATCTCTAATTGTCATCATGAAGTTCTCAATGCCACGTTTAAGAATAGGGTTGTAATACGAAAAAAGGCAAACTGGACAAGATAGTTCAGGAATTACCAGACCCGCCAAAAACAAATTGAAACATGTTAAACTCAGTTTCATGAATGAAAGGCTAAAGGACTGAACCACATAGAACTGGTAACATATTTCCATAGACATTTGATTTGAAGATGCCATGTGCAAAAAATAAAAAACATGTAAACTCCCAGTTTCCTAACAAATTGAGTACAAAAGTTTAGAGCCTGTTTAAATGCATTATCATCTAAATGATTTCGTTGCTACACTTAATAACAGATCTGCATACTGCAAGTCATTCTAGAAATAGCTAACGAAATAAGTTTAGGCTATTCATTCAATTGCATCAAATAATCTAAGAGCAAAAAGTGGAAGTGGAAGTGGAAAAGAAGCTGATATTATTTACAACAATTTTACCCCCTTCAGCATAGAAATGATTGCATTAAAGTTTGTCTCCCTAGCCAAGGCCCGAGTGGCTGCAGCCTACAGAAAAACATTCATAAAACAGCTGAATAAGGAACAATAGATTAAAAATGGAGAAATGGAAGGAAAAAAAGAAAGGAAAAAAAACCTGTATAACAGACCATCTGCCAAGGGATCCGAATATGGAACCCCAAGTTCAATTATATCTGATCCACAAGTGGAAAGCACCTTCAATGCCTCCGCCGTGGTTGAAAGATCAGGATCACCAGCAGTGATGTAGGGGATCAATGCGACCTTTAAAACATGCATGCAGTAAGAACAACGTTGATCAATGAAAAAATCCCATCAGACCACAAACGAAGTAGCAGATAGAACCAATCAGTTTCTAATACTTTTAATTTTCTATCTAATGGCTCTCCGTAATCAATTCCATCAACAGTACAAAGAGACATTTACCTTGCCCTGCTCTCTCAGTTTGTTGAATGTTTCGGACAATCCAGCAGCAGGGGAGGCTGTAAGGGCGGCAATCGGAGCAAAGCGCTTGGATTGGAAGACGGAAATGGTACAAGGACGTGGGGAAACGATGCGCGTAGTGTGTATCTTGTTGAGGGGAAGAAACCTCGAAGATTTGAAAGCAATATCCATTTGCTAAAGAGGGGTTTGGTGGAATTTCAGATTGTCAATGGAGTTTCGGTTTTCTATTTGGTTTACGACCGCTGAAGTTGCCAAGAACAAGCAGTGTTGCGTTGTTGTATCGACAAGTTTTCGAAAACCAGAGGCGAAAAGAATGGCGGCAGAATGCTTTCATAAAATTAGGACTCATCATATTTTCTATCGGCATTCAAAAATATTTATTATCCCTTAGATGTTATAGAGTTTTATTTATTTATTTATTTATTTATTATTATTATTATTTCTTAAGACACCTCCAAACGTTTATGGTACAAGGCATGAACGTGACAACCTGGGTCCAAGTCTTTATGCGTTCCAAGCGACGTAGTCTAAACCTACGTCAAAAGGTTTCATGTGTTCTAAGCAATGTAGTCTAAAGTTGCATCTGGGACTTCATGTGTTCCCTATGATACAATTTGAATCCTACACCCATAGCTTCTTAATTCTAAGCAGTGCAGTCTGAAACTTGTATCCAAGGCGCACACGTTCCAAGCAACGAGTCTAAAAAACTATGCCCAAGCCTTTATAAATTTCAATTAACATAGTCTGAATACCTACACCCAAGGCTTCATATATTCCATGCAGCATAGTCTGAAACTTGCTTCATACGTTCCAAGCGATGTCATATGAAAATCTACATCCAAAGCTTCTTAAATTCTAAGCAATGTAGTCTAAGTCATGCACCTACTGTACCGTGGGATTTCTGAGTCTTAGGATCTTGGTCCTTTATTCTTGAGTGATACCTAACATTTTTCTTGTCTTAGTGGACCTAGGGATTGTGTGTGTACTTTTTCTTGGTTTTTGTCTTTACAGCTCTCTTCTTAGTTTCTTGGGTTCTTAAGTTCTTGCTCCAATGGCATAAGTCTTGACTTACTTTATTAAGCCCTATAAAGATCATAAGTATACCATGCATAAGTCATTTAAAATATCATAAATATCATAACATGCTCTTGAACATTCTAAAAAGATCACGGGTCTTGGCTAGATGGTCATTAGGGGTAGTCTTGTACTTTTCCTCAAATCTTAACTTATACCCCTAAATTCGCTTAGGTTCTAAATTTGATCCAATCTTCTTGAAATATTAGGTAAACTTTTATGCTATTACACATAGACTTTTATTTAAAATATTGGGTCATTTGGAAGGTGTTTGGGCTTAAAAAATCTCAAAGGAATCTTAAAAAATATTAGTTTGTCCAATGAATCTATGGATTCCAGAATGTATTTTAATGTAGGGGCATTATTGTTATTTTACATTATTCTACTGGTAAGAATTCATATTAAATTCTAAGTAATTTCTACCGGTAAGAATCCATATTGAATTCTAAGTGATTTCTACCGGTATTTCTTAAGAATAGTCCAAGATGACTACTTACTTGACTTTGACGTTTGGGACCTTCGATCTCGAACTTTCATTATCATAATTTCTCTAATTTTTCTTTGGTACATCCATCTTTGAAGTCTAGCTTCTGGAACCAGTCTAATCTGATAAAAAACCTAATTTGATGAAAAACCAAGTGGGTTGGCGTGTCCAGTTCTGTTTAAACCGCCATGCCATTGCCTTCTTCCCCATTTTTCAGGAGATTCTAGGTTATTAGGCAACCCAATAGAGAGCTCCTTAGCCCCCAACTACTTCATGCAATCTTCTCCTTTCAATGCCACAAAATTAAAAAATCTGTTAATTTAGGACGAGAGACTCTACAGAAGGACTTTGGAGTTATCCCCAATTCCTTCGAATGTAACCTAAATTTGAAAAACTCAAATTCCCTTCACTTCCGGTCTTCATGAGACTTCTTCCTTGAGTGTCCATCAAAGACATACTTATCACAAAACACATTTATATCATCAATTTGACACAAAGGACATATTTTTTCCGCTGCACTACGCATAGGCCTGCCACTCACAGTAGTAGCCCAATACATATTAACATTGCATCTGCAGAGCTTGTCTCCCATTCTCAGTTTTCACTATTCCCTGTTCAGTAGTTACAAACAAATTTCCAAATAAATAATGAATTATGACACTAAATTTTCAGTTTGGTCCAACCTAAGACAAGTCAGAAGCATTCCCAATATCACTGATTGAATAAGTGAGCAATTTCATAAAACCAACATCATCTATCTCTATTATAATACTTCTTTCCAGAGATATCAGATTTACATTTTTTTCTAAAATTACATCTTATATTATGTACTTATTACCTATCAGTCTATTCTTTAAACATATTCCCCATCAGACATCGAACCATTCGACGTACCCAACAGGTGGCTGAGGCAACGGTTGCAACTAAGCTTCAAGAAATCCTTTTTCCTCCAAGTACGCCACTATCTGCTTTGCCATGGCGCACGGGGTCGGGCAAACTCCATCGTTTTGCCTTAATTCAATCTGGAAGAGCATCAGGTACAAGGTTTATAAAGCTATATTGGACTTGATATTACTACAGAAATAAAGCATGTATGGTTTATGATATTGTTACCTCGCAGTTCAGAGGCGGTTCGTACAGGTCGTCGATCCCAGTAAAACCTGCAATACAGTGCAATGTGATCGTTCGTTTTCTTTTCTATCTGCAAGTGGTTTAGGGAGCAAGACAAGAAATGGATTCTTCAAGTATACCTTTGATCTTTCCCTCTCGGGCGAGTTTGTAAAGACCCTTTGCATCTCTTGCCTCACATAATTCTAGAGGCATGTTCATGAACACCTGAACAAAGGGGAATTCCATGTTCAGTAACAAACAATATTTACATATCTGATTGAGTCATTACTAAAATCTTGCCTCAATAAAGTTTGCCTCAGGCAATAATTCACGGCAGAAATCCCTATCTCTTCTATATGGAGATATCAAACTAGCAATGCATATTAAACCAGCATCAGCAAAAAGTCTTGCTACTTCTCCTGTGTTGGACACCCAAACAAGGAGAGGATATTAGATATCTGAAATACGCATAAACACGTTTTAGTAGTAAATAACAAGAAAACCGCGTGTTATATGAAAATTGAAGGCAGGTTTAGCAAAACTCTCGAGCACGAAGACTCGGGATGTCTAGAGATGCTCTCCAAGGTTTTATTATGCCATGAGCTATAATAAAAGGACTCCTTGATACCCAATTATAACCAATTACAAAACCATTATTAGTCTCAAGTACTAGATTCAAGTCATTCTAACAGTTTCCTTGTTTCCTTCACACTAACCTCCTCCTCTTACAACAAATATTCTCATAAAACAATAATCTTTCGAAGGAATAGTAACTACCAACTCAGTGAGACAAATTACAACAGAAACATATGCACTGTGATGCTCAAAATTCATCACATGATATAAAATTAGACAAGTTATATGGTGGATGTTGTTTTTAGGTTCATCTAAATGAAATAAAGATCCTGATGAATGTTGTAGTCAAATTCGAATACTACTTCAAAAGGAAACATACTTACCAACTCTGCGAATATTTTCAACACGATCTTCAGCACTAAAACTAAGATCCTTGTTTAGTCCATGTCGAAGGTTGTCTCCATCTAGCACATAAGAAATCTTCCCTCTCGCATGAAGCTCTTTACTCAATGAGCAAGCTACAGTGCTTTTCCCTGAAAGATAAAATAGAAATATGTAGAAGAAAAATGTTTGAAGGAACAGCATTAATAAGAATGTTTATTTTTCCTCAAGTGAGAAATTTGCCAAATGTAGACACATTTGTTATTTCATCCACCCTTCCTTATTGCTTCTCCCACAACCCTTTTATTGGAAGCGTTTTATAACACTATTAAAATGATATACTCTGCCTTGAATCTGCATTCACGTCATCTTTTTTACGAGTAACAAAAAAATTATTTATACAAAAATAAGAAAGAGATTGAAAATTAAAGAGCTAGCCCTCTAAGATTTGAACCTGAAAGGCACAAAGATTAGAATCAAGCACCGTAAAACCACAAAACAAATTAAGAAATTTCAAACAGAATGTAGGAGACAGTTTACTAAAGATTATATGTGTGCTGGTTTGTCGCTTTGCAAAAAAAACATATTTTTATCTCGTCTTTTATCAGTAGGCCACCAAGCAAGTGAAAAATTGAACCAAAATAACAGTCCAGTTCATGTTAACAGATAGACAATTTGGTTCCTTAAGAGTCGGTAACAGGGATATCTAGAATATTAAGAGGGAAAAAGAAATTGAATGCTCTGTAGTTCCATTTCTAACAACCTGATATATATGCCATTTTAAATTATTATAGATATTTGGAAATTCTTAAGGAACTCTGTGCCATTACTGATATAATGCAGAAAATTCTATCTCTAGACTACTCAAGAAATGCAATACATGAACGTGATTTCTTTTGTGCGTATGTACAATTATAGCACTCTTCTTTTACTTCCGATCACCGGTGATGGTGATGATTTTCATCTCCTCTTCCAATTCAAACTTTGGAAATGGATGCTATGTTTCTGTTCAGATTTTATGATTTCAAATTTGGAAATGCTCTAGTCTAATGATTTTCAATTCAAGTGAATGAGCTAGCAGTGCATGTCAACTCGTTCGATACATATAGGATATCATATGTTTTTCTATAAAATTGTCAACCAGTGAAAGTTAGGTTCAATGCATATGTATGTATATATCCAGCAGGATTGCTCCCCTTGATTTTCATCCTTGATCCTTTTGAGCTTCTGGATTGTATGTATATACCCAGCAGGATACTCTATCCCTTAATCTTCCTTTTTGGCTGCTAACCTCTAGGAGGCTAAAATAAAATCCTTAATCGAATCAGATTTTTCTCTTAGTTGGTTTCTTTGGGGAGGTTACCACCTTGGACTATGTCCAGCGATCCTCATCTTTGGTTTCAGGCCTTAGCTGTGCGTTTTGAATAATCAAGGATCTAAGGATCTAGATAATATTGCATGGAGATGTCATTATGTCAGAAAATTTTGCATTAGATTTCTTGAGACAATTGGTGTTAGTTTGACTCCTAATAATGATGTCAAAGTATGCTGGAGGAGGTGTTGACCATCCTCCTTTTAGACCAAAAGAATGGCTTCTATGACAGGAGGCGCCTCAAGAAAAATAGGAGTTTCAAAGATATTGATAAATCTTTGGACTGTGACTTCGGGTGTCCTCTACGACGTTTTTTTTTTTTTTGTGTGTGTGTGTAATTATGTTATTTTAAATTGTTAACTGGAGCAACATTCTGTATATATTTTCATTTTGCCTTTTTTTAGGCTCCCTTTGTCTTGAGCGATCCTACTTTCTAGTGACCCTCTCTTTTACTTTCGTTTATCAGTTGGTTTGTCATCCTCGTACATATATATATATATATATATGGTGCTGCTAAGAAATACAAGCCAATGGCAAATGTAACAAATAGTGAGGCCACTACTAAATCAATTCATCACTTAATCTCCTCTGGAATCTAATAAAGCACCCTACAACAACAGATAATGGCTTATGATGTCTTTCAAAACGTCAGTCCATAAAAAAGGACAATACTATGAGCAACGTTCAGGACAAAAAAATGCAACATTTTATTCTTATATGACTAATGTGTAATACAGAAATGAGAACAGACCTGATCCACTAAGGCCTGTGATCCAGACAACACAACCTTTTTGGTCGAGAAGTTTCTCCCTTTCAGGCTTTCCGACAGGACAGTTGTGCCAGAAAATATTATTTCCATTTCCCACAGCAGACATTTGAGTGATGATCTTCTATTTCTACAATTGATCATTTTACAACGTTATAAGTTATGCAGAATATACTTTATCTAGAACTCGTACTATCATCAAATCGGGATCGCTACTATTAAGTCATTGTCAACTTAAGATCATTTTCATTCCTTCACTTCATTGCTACAGCCTACAATTTAGAAGTAAATTTTATAGCATATGACAATTGAACAAAAAGACTGAGTTATAAGAAAAATAAAAAAAATGATGAGAAAATTACAAGAATGGTCGAAAATTAAGCCTGAATATTTTCGCATGTAACATGACAAGTAGTTAACAAAAAAAATAAAAATAAATAAATAAATAAATAAATAAATCAGAAGAAAATCTTCAGTTACTACAACTTGATTGCAAATGATAAATATGAATTTTAATAGATAAAATGCCATGAGAAAAGAAATTGTGCCCAGAATTTGGCAATGTAACTTTGATTGTATTATCTAATAGAAACAAATTCATATATTCGAAACTAGCAGACCCACCATGACACCAAAAAATGCATCTTGCTCGACACTGCTACCCAGCACTCTCCCTACAAGTTCAGATTCAAGTACCTAATGCATGAAACAGTAAGGCTTGTTTGCACTCGCTCCAGATATGTTAATTCATAACCACGAGCAAACTTATAGGACATAATGGCACCGACCATGGTAAGGGGTGTAGATTCAACATAAAGGGGCATCATTTTTCACAAAAATGAAATAGAAAACAGAAAACCCCATCTCTTCTTAATCTTATAGCTGCCTTTGCCAGTAAGGGGTGCAGAGTGAGAAGGGATCACCAAGTTATCTGATTGTAATGTCCTTGTCCAATAACATCTTACCATCTAAAACATTTTATAAACTAGATTAGATTCGGAAAGCTAACTGATTATATCCGCATTATGTGTCCACAATCACATGATACTTAATCCTTATATGTATGAAGCCCCAAAATACGGTTTCTTGGGTTATACCTCAATTAAATGGACTGTAAAGTCAGTCTATTGTTTCTCTTTTTCACTCTCCTTTAACCTCACTTAGCATAGGTTTTGCTAGAATGGAAATTCTATATGAATCTTATTCTGCATCCTAATAGCATTAGGGCAATGCGTGGCTTGGTTTCAGAGAAAAATAGTGTTCATGGTTCAGATTCTCTTCATTCAACTCAAAGAAAGATCTCATTTTTCTTTGAAGAAGAAACTGGTAAAATCTATTCTCTCTATCATATCCGTATGATCTACTTTCATATATGCATAATGCACGCTGCTATTTGTTTGTGCATGATCTACTTTCGTTTTTTATTACTGCAATATTTTTTACTGTCACATTCTAGTGATTCACACTATCTTGTGATATATGGGAAAACAAACAGCTATCCTTAATATTATAATCCTATAAATGAAAGTAGAGGTTCCATATTGATTGATGTTGAAATGAATGTTTTACCTTAAGAATCAGAAGTTGTAAGTTCTAGATGGGAGGATACAGGTGGGGAACAAAACAGAAGCTAGATTTATCAGTTAGCCATTCACAACAAAAAACGCATATTTTTAGATAATAAAAATTTTTTTAAAAATATTTCTCACAGAAAATGACGAAGCAGAACTTTTCTTTAGTTCTTCTCCCACTAGGCACGTCTGTTTCTTGGTCCTCGATGCATACTTTCTTTTCTGTTATTGTACTTCTTTGACAGGTGAAATGGTTGGAAAACACGATGAATTATAATCACTAAGCAGTCAGTGTATAAACATGACTAGGTCTTATACACGACTCTTTGTTTTGATTAATCTCATTTTCCTGAAGTGGATTGCTGCCCGCCCCCACCCAATCTTCTTATGGACGTTGGAAAGCCAATGCTTTGTACTCTGCAAACCTCACACGCTCATTTGTATATTTGTGTGCTATTTGAGGATATTATACCTATGCGAGTGCCTGTTCTCCAATGACCCATTTGTCAATTTTATTATCTTATGTTACTTTAAGAAGGTTTTGTTTCAACTCATAAGTTCTACTATTAGGAAGATAAAACCATTGGCGGGTGATGAAGAGATATGTGTTGTGAGATCCTACATGGGTTGGGAAGGAGAACGAAACATTCTTTACAAGGGTGTGGAAACCTCTCCCTAGCAGACCCGTTTTAAAAACCTTGAGCGAAAGGCCAAAGAGGACAATATCAGCTAACGGTGGGCTTGAACCGTTACAAATGGTATTAGAGCCAGAGACAGGGTGATGTGCCAGATAGGAAGCTGAGCCCCGAAGGGGGGTGTACATGAGACAGTGTGCCAGCAAGGACATTGGGCTGTGAAGGGTGAATTGGAGGTCCCACATCGATTGGAGAAGGAAACGAGTGTTAGTGAGGATGTTGGCCCCAAAGGAGGGTGGATTGTGAGATCCTACATCAGTTCGAGAGGAGAACAAAACATAACATTTTTTATAAGAGTGTGGAGACCTTTCCCTAGTAGAAGCATTCTAAAAACCTTGAGGGGAAGTGTGAAAGGAAGGGAAGACCAAGGAGGAAAACCAAGGAGGACAATATCTGCTAGTAGTGAACTTGGGTCGTTACATGTGGCTTCTTATGGGCCATAATCGATATTCAAAGTAACATTGTTTGTTGCACTTTTTCCATCTCCAACTCCATTTTATTTGTTCCTCAACTTTAATGTGGACTTAAAACGTCAGAAAACCATCTTTTTAAAACTAGGACCTTGCCTTCTATTATTTTTGTATAATCCAAAGGTAAAACTAAGAAAAATTTCACAACCAGAAGAATGTTGTGGTACAACCCACAATTCCTTGTGCATTTCACTCTTCAGCTAAATGATGGATTCTTATTCAAAACTTAGTGGGAACCTTGATCCTTGATCTTTGCTACGGAGGAAGGAAAAATCATATAGCTAAGAGAATAAAGCGAAATGCACAATGAAGAGTGCCTGGAATCAAAGCCGATGGGCAAGAATATAATTGCTCATAAGCTCCATTAGCCACCATTGTTCTGAGTTACCATGTTAATGGATTCGTAAGAGCTACGACAATTGAATAACTTGATTTTAATCCATTAAGGAGACAGATTCAAAATCATCCCAATCAACTGACAAAACACACTGAAACGGAAGATCCAAATTAACAAATGACATGCAAAAAAAGGTTCCAGCAAATGGAACAGGCATATAAAGAAACGTACATTTGCAAAGAGTGGTGGTATGAAGAACAAATAACAAAGAAACAATAAATAGATTAACGATGGGAGAGAGAGAAAAGGAGATAATACCCTGAGGAGAGAAGAGTGATGAGGCAGCCAGAGAAGAAGGGATTAGAGAAGGAAGGAATTAAAGAAGGAATGAATCTGGACAGGGGTAGCGTGTAGCGGCTGTTGCGCACTAAATTCACTCAGAATCGCCAGTTTTCCAATTCCATTCCATCGGTTTCGCGCTTAGAAGAGCATCGCATTCCATATTCTATTCTCTCTCTCTTCCCCTGAAATGGAGCCACACTTCCAATCCAGTGTCCACGTTTGGTTCCTCCAACCCCCATCCCTTTTGCTGACGTGGAAAAATATTTTAATATTTTAATATTTTCAAATTTTCAAATTTAAATCATCAATATTGTAATTAATCATATTCTTTTATTATCATTTCAATTTAAAAGGTTCAACGAGGTTTTTAAAGTGTCTACCACAGAGTCTAAATTTGAAATATGTTTGATGAGGAAAAGCCATCCGCTATAATCAATTTAAGTTCACTCTTCACCAAATAAACTACCATCATATCAGTGTTGGAAGAATATGTCATGTGATTCCCTCTGACGATCTCATATGTCTAAACAGGAGAAGGGTTAGTGCTTAACTTTTTTCCTCCTGAATTGGGTAATTCTTGGAATAATCTGAATGACACACGTATGTATTATAGGATAGCTCGCTTAGGCCACATTTTTTTTTTATGCATTTTCAATCTTCCTAGAGTAGAAGTGATTTTGACAAATGATCCTACATCATGGTACTCATCTATTTTGGCCCTTGTTTAGTTAGATGAGCGCCATTTGAGGGTCATCGCTTTGTTTTGTCACTATGTGAGGGTCACAAACCATACCATTATTCCCCACTTAAATTAGTTATTGTCCTCAATGAGTTGTTTGGGACATAATTGTGGCAATCTCCCCCACTTAATATCGACATCGTTCTTGATGATCACCCAAACTTCAGACTAATTGCTAACTAACTTGTTGGAAATTGACGTGTTTTAAAATGAATATGGAAACTACACTACTTATGAATTTTCCCACTGTTGGACCTTCCCTCGGTCTTTGAGACTCGTGACATAAACATGACAAAATAACTTGTCCAATGGTTGTTGGCTATCCCACTTGGGGTCTCCCTTGCCTTTCTCTCGAACTCGACTTGAGAGTCACCAAAAAAACCATGACAAAACTAACTAGCATCGACATCCTCATCTTAGCTAGGGGGAGTGTGCCCCAAACGTGAACACTTTGACCTCAACCCTTGTATTCTCTGAGTTGCACAAAGTGGCACACCCCTCAGGATGGGGCTCTCAAGCCAATCCACAACATTCCCTCGTTGTGGCCACACCCCATACAGAAGCAGGCACCCCATACATGATAAGATAAGGAATCACTACAAGGGGAGTAAGATTCAGATTACCTTGTTGATCGAATATCTTAAGGCAAGAACATTGTTTGAGATTCGAATCACTCCACAAGCAAGATCGATCATGTCTAGCTTGAATGATTCTTGTTGATCAAATATCTCAAGGCAAGAACACTTGCTTGAGATTCGAATCACTCCACAAGCAAGATTGATCATGTTGAGCTTGAATGATTCTACATGCAACCTAAACTACATAGAATTGCAAAGAAACTTAGCCATTGGCTAAAGAAGAGGACAAATGCTTCTTTTACTATATTTTCCAAGTCTACACATACAACATACATGACTTTATATAGCCTCAAAATGAAACTATTAAAGGCATTCCAAGAGTTGTAACATTCATACTTAATGACCATAATTAACTATTATGTAATTGTAACCTATAGTAAATAAAAAGTCTTAAAATACAATATACATGATTGATGTCTTATCAATACATAAGCAAAATCAAAACTTTTAACATATTTCTTTCCCGTGTTGGCACTCCACCCCAGCCAACCCTCACCTAGCCACCTTCATGTGGCAATCGCTGCATTGACGCTTCTCTCAGTCATCTCGTAGATTCATTCTCTTCTTCCTTTATTTCCAGCCTAATGCTCTATTCTTGAGCGAATACTGGTCTTGTTACTCTTGTGAAGCCACTTATCTTAGGCAATAGGTGGCTCAAGGAATACATGTGTGCTAGCTCCTTGGAGCCACATCTACTAGGTGAGTAATCACTCGGGCTCTTCCCCACTTGAACTTGGCTGCCTCTCTGTAGCAATGTTGTCCTCCCATAAGGACTTGCATTGTGCTCAACTTGACACTTGGTCGACGCATGTCTTATCTGACCTCAATTTATTTGCTTGTAACCACGCTAATGCAAATGGTTCTTTGGAAGACACCCAACTTGATGTGTCTTCTATTTATCTTTTGTCCACATTTAGGACTCTCAAGTCCTTGAAAAATGAGCTTTGTTCTTGCTTCATGACGGGTAGAACTACCCTCATTGATGTGTCACCCACGACACTCTTGAGCTTGAGGGGAGTCTTGGCTTCAACCAATAATTGTTTTTGATCTTGACTTGTAACTGTCCTACTCACTCTCACACTCATGATACACTTGCAAAGTCTTCTTTTGACCTCAAGTTCATTTCTCTTATTGTCTTGTTCGACTAGACATACAAAGCTTTGTGGCGTGTGAGTTTGACTTAGAAAAAGAAGTTATTAACCTAGAGCAATTTTAGGATAATTATTTAGTAGTTATTAACTTGAAAGTATAGGAGACCCTTGGAAAAGATTTAGTAGTTATTGATTTGAAAGTTTAGGAGATCGATTAGGAAGATTAGCGGTGTTGCATGACTATGGTTATGGTGAACTCAAACTATGGAGCTTTAGAGTTGTTTAGATAGATCTGTGTATGGTTAAAGGTACGTGGTATATAGTGATACTTTCTAATCCAAAGAAAATACTTGATCACCTTTATTCCCACCTTTCGAGAGTTGACTTTTATGATGACACGAGATGGATCATGTGATTACAATATTTGTGCCCGTAGACTAGCCAAAATTAAGAAAAACAATAATATTATCTATGAATATCGTTAAAAAAACATAAATTCACACACACACAATTTATTTTTTTTTAAAGAATTATAAAACAATTTTTTTTTCACGAGATTTTGATCAGGATGATTGTTGTTGGGCCATTAGAAATTTTTGTTCATTTTCAGTGAAATCGATCATATAAATATAAGATTGGTCAGTGAAATCCAGATGGAAAACGCATCTTCCAAATCAACCATTAGTTTCACGAGATTTTGATCAGGATGGTTGTTGTTGGGCCATTCCGAGTAGATGGTGTTTGTATTACTGTTATCGAGATTGCCTTTTAAAATTTTTTCAAGATCCTTTATCGAATCATGCAAATTTTAGAGTAATTATGTACAAAGCAATTTGATATGGAGGTAGGAACTAGTGTCACACATGATCTAAGAACAATCCCCATCATCAGCTTTGATTTTAATAGTTTCGTAACAAGAACGTTTAATACTACTTATTGGAGAGTTGTTAGCAAAATAAAATACTTATCACCTTTGTTCTCACTGCTCGAACCGATTTTTCTGATCAATTCCAAACTGTTATTTCGAGAAGTGACTAAATTTGTTTCTGTTCACTATTTGAAAGAGTGACTAAATTAAGGCTAAATTAAAGCTAGAAGCTAGTTAGTTATTGAAGGTAATCAAAATAAGTTAATTACGAAATAACAACCTAATAAAACAAGAAAATGAACAAACAAATAATCGACACGATCTAATTTTATCAGACAATCAAATAAGGCACACTAAATATTATATTTTGGATAGAATTCCAAACCTGAATTAAAAAGGAAAGGTAGTTGAAAGGTAGTTAAGATTTTGAGAACAATCTAATTTTCTTATTTAGAGAATTCCTAAAAATTTAGGAGTTATTTACCCTTAATTTAATCTTCAAATAAACATACAAATATTCAAAAATAAATAATAAGGACGGTTTATAATCACAATCTTAAGAACAAATATGAAAAGTATTTTTTTTTACAAGATCTAGATGTGGTCGAAGATAACGAAAACAAGGTGAAAAGATGACGAAGAATGGTGGAAATGACCATAAGAAAATAAATAGACAGATTTAAAGAAATAAACAATAGCAGAAATGAAACATAAAATCAATTATAGAGTCGGCGACAAATGCAAGCTCTGATACCAAATTGATAAGTCAACCATAATTATCATCACAACGATGGAAACTTTTGTTGAAACAAGAACCCTCGAATCAAAGAAATTAACACCTCCTACACAAAAATTCTGATCAACCAAGAGATAAGGCTAGAACCAGACTAACTCTTACGATCGAATATATAGAAGCAAGATTTGGAATTTTGTTCTAAATTGAGTCACTCCACAATCGAACTTGATCAAAGTTTGATTGAATGACTCGAATCAATCTACTACAAAAATTGTATGAAACTTAGAAATATCAAAGATGATGCTCGGATTTCTAAGGGAAATGTTTCAATTTTAGATCTCAATTCATACCTCCACGAATGTGATTTTTATCTAATAATTTGAGGTATTTATAGTCTCCGAAAAAGATTGTTTGTGACCATGATTTAATCCCGATCTCCCTCAACATTGGACCATTTCACTATTACAAATTTATCAAATTAAAAATAATAAAGTTTACAACAAGTTGTCATGTTTGAGTGAGCAGGGGACATAAACTCTATTTGTCACGGTTTGAATTCTATTCTATTGTTGACATTTTTTAATTTTCTTAGCCTTGTATCATGTAATAAATATAGATGGAACATTTGAAACATTGGGATTCTTATAGACTACATTTTAAACTTTGAATAATCATGTACAAACTTAGTTAGTATCGGGGTAGGATCTAAGAACCATCACCATGATCACGTTTGACTTCAATAGTTTCATAACGAAAACGTTTAATACTAATTGGAGCACTGTTAGCATAAGAAAAAATACTTGTTCACTCTTGTTTCACGTCTTGAGTCGAATTTTTTGATTATTCAATATTTCTTCTCTATTCAGGGTCATAATTTGAATCTAATTAAACTCATTTGCAAATATCATATATCTTGTTGAAGATTGATTATGTGATGCAACATCGTATATCTTGGTGAAGATTGATTATGTTATTTCAATATTTGTGTGGCGCGAAAGTTAAAATATATATATGTATTTATGAATATGTTAAAAAAACATAAATTCCCACCCAGGTAATTTTTTTAGGAATTAAAA